CGCCCGTCACCCACCGCCCGTCGATAGGCGCCGGTTACCCGCAGCACTCGCCTCAGCCGAAACAGCCTCCTCCGCTGTCGAGCTCGACGACGGCCGCCTCTGCCTGAGATCGGAAAACCAAGGTCGACAACATCTTCGATCCGCCACTTTGCCGTCGTCCCGTCGATGTAAGATGGACATGAATTCAGCCGTGAAGTACCTCGTCGGGACTTGTCCCACCACCGCCCGCCGCCGACCCGCTAGTTTAGGAGCAGATGGGCTCTGTTTCATCCGCCTGAGAATTGCAGACGTCCATTTATCGCCTCCGTCCCGTTCGCGACATTCGACCGCCGCTGCCACCTCGTTCGCGACATCCAACCGCCGCTGCCGCCCAGATCTGCCATCTTACCACCGTCGCTGTCTCGTCCCACCATCCGACTGCCGCAGCCGTCTCATTCCCGACATCCGCCGCCGCCGTCTGGAGAGAGTTGTTTCAACAACTTCAATTGTGGGGCTTTATTTTGAGAATTGGATATGATTGAAGTGCTTAATTGTAATTTATAAAATTTTGGTTATATTACAATTGAGTACATTGGGCCAAATTTGTAATTTCTGAAAATATATAAAAATATTAGTTTTATATATGTTTTTAGACATATAGATAATATGTGTTAAAAAATATAATAATAGAAAATATTAAATTTAAATACTAAATATAAAAAACAAACATAATAGTGTTCGACTTAGTGCACATTAATGCGTACGGGAATGCAAATTAATGCTTTCGATTTATTACGATTGTCTTTATTTACAAAAAACAGGTAAAAAAAAAATAACGAAACCGACTGAACAAATATAAAAAATATTTTTTTTTTTCATTTTATATATATAATATAATAATGTATATATATTTTTTCCAAAATTGGAATGCACTTGAAAAACCCCTTAATAGTCTGCACAATAATGTTATACTAGATGCACATTAATGCATGTGTGCTTGCACTTTATCGAGATCGGTATTTTGTATATTAAATTGTTTCTGCCAAAAAATAATATAAAAAAATAAATAAATAACATTTCTCACATACTAAATATAATTTTAATATAAATAATATATTAATGGGATTATTTAGTATACTGGAAATATACATTATTAGAGGTTTGTATATCTGAAAATGAACATAACAAAATATAATTGTACAAAATGCATAAATAAAAGTTAAAATAAATACACATTAATACATGTTGGAATGCACAATAACGGCGATGGTATTTTATATGTTATGTATATTCAAAAAAAAAAATATATATATATATATAATATTAGCTATATATGTATATTAAAATACTTAACATATTTTTTATAATATAAATAATAAATTATTTTAATTATTTAAGGTACCTTGAATAACCGAATATTAAGGTTGGTTTTAGTTTGTTTGAAACAAGTCATAATAATGTTTGCGCTATAAGTGCACAAAAGCGTTAGACAGATTGCACTCTGATGACCTTTAGATTGCACATATTGATATTTTTTTTTATTATTATCGAAAGTTATTATTATTATTATTATAATTATTATTATTATTATTATTATTATTATTATTATTATTATTATTATTATTATTATTATTTATATATCTTTATATATTATGAATGAACATTATTATGGTTATTGAATAATATGAAAAATATTATTTCTATTATTTTAATTTTTTTATGTATAATGGGTGCACCGTATAGTTTTATGAATTGCACCTTAGTGACTATTAGATTGCACAATATATAATGAAACGACACGAACTAAATTTTTTAGTTCAAAATTTTAAATTTGGGTTCGATTGTTTTGAATTAGATATATAAATAATAAATATGTTTTGTATTTCAACAATAAATATTATAATATTAGCTATATATATTAAAATACTTAACATATTTCTCATAATATAAATAATAAATTATTTTAATTATTTAAGATACCTCGGTCAACCGAATATTAATGTTGGGTTTTGTTTTGTTTGAAATAAGTCATAAAAATATGTACGCTATAAGTGCACAGAAGTGTTAGACAGATTGCACCCTGATGACCATCAAATTGCACGATATTGACATTTTTNTGTATGAACATTATTATGGTTATTGAATAATATGAAAAAAATTATTTTTATTATTTTAATTTTTTTTATGTATAATGGGTGCACCGTATGGTTGTATGAGTTGCACCTTAGTGACTATTATATTGCAGAATATATAACGAAACCGCATGAACTAATTTTTTCGGTTCAAATTTTTAAATTTCGATTCGATTGTTTTGCATTACTTTAAAAAAGACTCAGTTATCTCGTTTCGATGGTAGATTTGTTTTTCTTAATTACATAAGTGAAATAACCGAACGTCCAAATTGTATAAAAAATATTATTATTATTTTTTATATTTTTATGCAATGTATTATCTATTTTCAAATATTAAATAAAAAATATTGAAATATTAATTATAGTTTACTTAATTATAAATTTGACACATGAACTAAATTGGAATATATCAAAATATCAGAAATTGCAATAAAGTCCCTAGGACTTATCAAATTCACAAAATTAAATCCCCTTCATTCTAGATCTAATTATCAATGTCACTGCAATTCCAGATCTGATTTATTGTCACTGGACACGCACTGAACACGCACACACACGCAGAGTCCTCTCCATCACCGCCGACCACCGTTATAGGTGCGGAAGATCAACAAATCGCGATAGGTGCGGAGGAAGGGGGCCGCGTCGGAGTAATTGGCGATCTCCGACTGATGGCGGCGACGGGCTGAGACTTTGAGTGTGGCTAGTCACGGAGAATGGCGGACGGTGCTCATGGTGGTATGGCGGCGGTACGACGGAGGTCGACGTGTGCTTCGGGTGGTCAGGCGATGGTCGGTAATGTGAAGGTAGAAAGACAGTGAGGTGGTGAGAGATGGCGGCGGAGGGCAGTAGTGGGCGGCGGAGGATATGCAGGTACAGGAGAAAGGCGGCTGCACGGCGAAGCTCCGGTGGCCGGAATGTGGGCGTGAAATGGACTGGCGGAGGGCGGCTACGCGGCGAAGCTCTGGTGGCCGAAATTTGGGCGTGAAACGGACTGCCAGAACACTGCGTGCGTGTGTATGTGTGTGCGTGTTTAGCGTGAGCGTGAAGGAGAAAGAGGAGTTGAGGAAAGAGAATGTGGATGAAGATGATTGGTGAGTGGGTCCCACATTATATATGTGTATTGACCAACTTACCATTAATTATTGGTCAAATACACATATTTGACCACAAATGATCATATAATTACCAAATTGCCATTAATGATTGACCATTGTTTGACTTCATCATAACCATTGATATGGTTAATCCCATGGTCCACACTTATTCTTATTTCTTTCACTATCTATCATTCTCATATGATCCTAACTCTATAGGGATTGGTTCCAATGCATCCGCTTATTTAAAGTGAGGACGTGAGACTCATTCCTAGCCACAAGATTTAGATCTTGATTTAAATAATAATTCTTTATTTTTATTATTTAATTCTTTATTTTTAATTATTTAAATATTATTATGACCATTGACCGTTGACTCCGGCATTGACCGTTGACTCCTGCATTGACTGTTGACTTTTGGCGTTGACCGTTGACTTTCGCCGTTGACTCGTTGGCCTTAGTATGCATCATGTATGAAAGAATAATTAAAGACAACTAACCTTGCAACCAAAGACAACTAAACATTGCAAATTAAAACAACTAACCCTGCAATAAGATAGAACTAACTTTGCAACTACAAGCAACTAACTTTGCAACTAGAGAAAACTAACCTTGCAACGAGACAGAACTAAACTTGCAACTAAAGATAACTAACCTTGCACTAAAGACAACTAACCTTGCAACCAAGACAACTAACCTTGCAACTAAAGACAACTAACCTTGCAACCAAAGACAACTAACCTTGCAACTACAGACAACTAACCTTGCAAACTGAATACAACTAAACATTGCAAATAAAAACAACTAACCTACAACAAGATAGAACTAACTTTGCAACTACAGACAACTAAACTTGCAACTGGAGAAAACTAGCATTGCAACTAGACAGAACTAACCTTGCAACTAGACATAACTAACCTTGCAACCAAAGACAACTAATCTTGCAACTACAAACGACTAACCTTGCAAACTGAATACAACTAAACATTGTAAATAAAAGCAACTAAACCCTCCAACATATTTACATTAACTTTGCAACATATTTACATTAACTTTTTCTCACCATATTTACTTCATACACAATATATACTATGGTCAACGGTCAACGCCAGAAGTCAACGATCAACGTCGGAGTCAACAGTCAATGCCGGAGTCAATTAATAATTATTTTTATTATTTAATTAATGTATATTTTAATTGATTAACATAAATCCTTGATCTAGACAAAATGAGTGGCCAAGATTGAGTCTTACAGACTCATTTTAAGGAGTGGTATCATTGGATCCACCCTCTCTCTCTCTCTCTCTCTCTCTCTCTCTCTCTATATATATATATATATATATAATTGCTAGCAGGACATTTAATAAAATCCTCCAGCATTTTTTCGCGCAAATGCATTCAGCATTTTCATCTCAATAGAACAAGTATTTATTACTTTATCAATATGGTAACATTTTTATGGTTCTTACTAATTGTTATTAAATATTATAATATTTTCTTATTTTTTTATTATATATAGCAACGTCTTATTGATTTTCAAAGTTCTTCCACTCTTTATTTTTTATTTTTATCTTTTCGTAACCTCTAATAAAAAACAATAAAGATTAAAAAATAATAATAAAATTCTTAATAAATTATATTAAGATTACAATATCATGGTACAAAAACATTTAAGTACTGAAATTAACAATTTAGTATTATTTACTGCAATTCATGGAGTATATGTTGTTCTCCAATCATTTATTCGTACAATCTCTATATATGTATAATTGACAGAAAATTATTAAATAAAACTTAATAAATCTTACCTATGTGGCATTTTTTCTCCAATAACTGTTACAGTCCATTATTATTATTATTATTATTATTATTATTATTATTATTATTATTATATTAATCCACACTATCTCATCAATGATAAAATATTTTCTTGCACTTTTTTTAGGTTAATTAAGATAAAAACTGTTACATTTTATATTAACTGAGTAATTATTATATTTTTTATTGTATCATATAATAGTTGTTATTAGAATTAATAATTATATTTTACACTAAATGATATATGAAAGTTACGTAAGCATAAAAAATTATATTGTAAAGACTTTTTGTTCAAACTATTTATTCTAAAATCAATATTATATTTTTTAATCTGATTAAGCAACTGTTTCTTAAATAAATTAATTTGTTTTAATGTCATAGTTAATTTTTTTTAAATCGGATAAGCAATTTGATGTAGAACGTGAATAAGAAACGGGAAAGATACGAGATACTCTCTCGTGAAGACCTCACAATATCAGAAAAACTCAAATTCATTCACCGTTCATTACTGAAGAGAATACATATATATATAATCTTAGAATCCCCACAAACCTAACTTCCTAAATAAGATAAAACCACATAATTATTTTCCAAACTCCAAATAACATAAATAAGGACATCTAATAATAATAAGGAAAGAGGTAATAAAATAATTAATTATGCAATGGTATTCGATCATATTTATCGAGGAACGCGAGGGCGATCTCGTCTCCATCATTCTCCCCCGGTTGAGAAGGATTCGCCCTCGAATCCGAATCGATCTCGTCTCCGTCCAAGCCGTCAACGCCCAAAGGGACCAACTGCACCACGTGGAAAACATCAGATGAACACCTCTGAAAAGGTAAGCAAAGACAGTAAGTATCCTGTGGGAGCCGTGCACGAATCTCATAGGGGCCGATTCTACCGCCCCGAGGAGAAGCAACCCACACAAAGTCACCTACGTCGAAGACCACAGAACGACTGTCCACTGCTCCAACCAAGTCTCCACGTGGCCCATCCTGAGAAAGAAACAATGTCGTCGACGTCTGTTGCAAAGGAACCGACCGAGAAGCCGAGGGAGGTAAGACAATGCGGCTGCCCTCAAACAGAAATCCATACGTGTTAAGGCACCCATCATGAACCATGGCACGATCAAACTGCCACGGACGTCCTAATAAAAGGTGCCAATCATCCATAGGCACGACATCGCATCACACCTCATCCCTATATGCAGGGCCAATAGAGAAAGACACCAACACACGCCTGTTAACAGGGACAACGTCGTCACGCCGTATCCAAGCGAGAGCATAAGGATCAGGATGCGGCTCCGTCGACAATCCAAGCTTCGCCACAGCCTCGTCAGATATCACGTTCTCGCATGACCCCGAGGTTTGATGAAAGACCCGAGGAGGTAGAGGAGCGTCTTACCGACGAAGTGGACGGTCTCTACGACGATCCGTCCATTTTCGATGGGGAGCCCCCGGTGCCAGAGGAATTCCATCATGTTCCGGGTATCGAAATTCAGCCATTGGAAGAATTGGTAATTCTTTTGTTGCGCAGGCGCAGGCCCGAGGTTTTCTCTCACGGGAATTTGTTGCGGCCTTGCAAACATATGTTTTTTTGTCCCCACGGTGACTTCAAAATTCTGTGTTTGACTGCTGCATATATGCCTTTCAGTGAATTTCAAGGGGATGATACCATGGAGGTGCGACATTCAACCTTCGTGTTCGATCGGGGGAAACGTCGGGCTATTCCTGTCATGGTGGCATCTCCAACGGGAACGTGTTGGATTCGAGGGCGAATCCTGCTCAACCGGGGGAGAATGGTGTAGACATATCTATTATTATTATTATTATTATTATTATTATTATTATTAGATATCTTAGAGAATAAGTTAGGAATTGTTTAATATTTAATAAGAGTTCTTGTCTTGTTGGACAAGTTAGGTCTAGGGTTAGGAGCCTTATATAAAGGACTCCCTCTAGTTTATTTTCATTAGTTGATTATGAATAAGAATATGATTTGATTGGTTTTATCGAGAGAGTATCTCGTTTATCTTTCTCACTCGTACGCTTCCCTACATCACAATTGTTATATTAACTTTATTATTTTTGAGCTAATTAATTATTCATGATGACTCAAAATTAACAAAATTACATTATTTATTACATTTTATGCAATCAATATACTAATTCATATGTCAGATCATATTATTTATTTTAACCAATAATCAAATTTTAAAACATAATACCATTATCTAACTTATAATTTAACATTATATGAATAAATATACTTAATAATACTCCATGTTTAAAATATAATACAATTATCTATCTAATAATTTTAATATTATATATATACAAACAACTTATAATATTTTATTTGGACTTTTATCAATTCAAGGCCCGAAAGATAGGTAAATTANTTACACTGTAAGTGTCAATTTTTTTCTATTTTCAAAATCCTCTTTTCAAATTATAGTAAACATGAGAAATTTTACTTTGAAATCACTCTCCAAATTTCTATGAAATTGAGAAATTTTAGCTACTATGGAATTATGAAACAGAGAGCCAGAGATACCAAATTCTCGCCCAAAGTTTCCTGCTCAACATCAAGGAATTTTTTTTCTTTGCCTGCCTCAGAATTTGAGTAGTTGAAGAATAATTATTTCATAGGGCAAATACCAAGCGGGATTGATTCGGTTCGGGTTCAAGATTTCTTCTTAAATTTGATCACAAGTCAGTACCACTGCATTTTTGCAGCGATAATCGGTCGCCTGAACATTTCTCCATCGAGGCTCCATTAGCAATTTGGGGATGTTTCTCAAGCACATATTTGTCATTTAATAACACCTCGGTCTCAATTTCAATTGTATATTCAACCAGGGACAGAAAATCGTTAGAGTACGACCCCGAGTGCCATCGTGCAGAGTCTCATTTGGTCGTCTCCGATCCAGCCGCCGCCACGCTCTCTTTCTTTCTTTCTTTTTTTTCTCTCTCATTTTTTTTTCTTTTTTCTTTTTTCTTTTTCCTCTATAAAACCTCAATTTAACAATGTTAAACTTGTTGTTAATGTTTAATTTTAATATTGATAGTTTCATAAAAGTTTGTTAACGGTGCTGTTACTTTTTGGGAAAATTACATACATAAACAGGAGTGGAGAGATATTTACAACTTTACAATCGGTGCAAAACTTAATCAAAAGACGATTAAGATGAAGGGATTATTTCATTTGTACGAGATATTGATTTCCCGTATGTAGAATCTTTTCTCTCTCTCCATATATTGTAACGACATTAATATGCCGAAAATCACGCATCAAAAACAGAAAACCATAAAAAAAAAAAAGAATAAACATGGAAATTTGTATTGGGATTTACAATTCAAACAATCATGTCGTACGAAAAAAAAAACGCAGACCAACTGAAAAAAATATCGATTGTGATGTTTGTGAAATAGAGCTTGAAATAGCCGTTGAGCCAAAACTCTTGAAAGCATAATCATGTTTATCTATTTTTTTGTGATCCATTACCAAATTGTAGTGCGTTTTTATTATTATTATTATTTTCAGTTTGAGCTTTCGTTTTGTTGCAACGATTCATAATCTCTTTATGTTTCATGAACACAAGTATATTCCTGTTTTTTTTTTATGGCTATCAGGTACTAGATTATTGGGTGTTTTTAATTTTTTTTTTTATTTCATGTTCTGTTTATTTTTCAGGAACATGATTGATATCAAAGTGTTTATACATCATAATGGAGTATGGATGAACAATGAATACGTGAACTATGATGTCGGAGGTATTTTAATTAGTTCATTGTGTAACTACAATCAGTTCCGAGATATTGTTTTTGATAGACTGAAGATAAACGAGTATTCAAATGATCTGGAGTTGAAGCATCAAGTGAAGGATGGATATCCACCTATGAGTGTGGATGATGATAGTAGCCTACATTTCTATATTCATTGAAGTCGAAGGAGTGTGATTATACAAAGTTGCCCTTGTGTGTCGTTGTAAAACAAGTAATAATTGCCACCTCACCCGTTCGAAGCATAATGCCAATGTCGTTTACTCCGTCTGTGTGTGATATAGCAGCATCAAGATGTCTTGAAACGGCAGGGGAGGATTCTGAAATAGATGGATTTTACAGAGTATTCGCTACACATGCTGCAGATACAATGCTGAAAACAGCAATGTACACGGAAGATAAACTAGAGATAAACATCTCCACTACACTTGAATATGGGGTCGATGGGAGTATGATTTCGGTTGTTGTGGTCGGCCAAACTTTCAGAGATAAAAATGAAGTGATGAAGTTGTGGTGAGAAAGGGCATAATGTAAAGACATATTCAAATCCGAAGAGATTGGAACAAAATTAGCTTGATGTGTTTACTTATTGTTTATTTTGTGGTATGAGTTAATTTTTAAGTTTAAATAATAAGACTGAAATTTTTTACCTTTCCTTTATGATTGTTTACTTATTGCTTACTTTTAGTATAATTGTACAAGCGTATGTTATAGAATAAAAGAATGTTGTAATTCAAACGTATATAAGTTGTACATTTATGTGTCCAAGGCCCGAAGTTTAATTATATGAATAATATTAAAGATAGTGGGGTTGAGTTAAAGTTGAGTTAGATTTTGAGTATAAATTAAAAGTGAGTGAAATAATTGATAAACAAGTATGCCCAAAGTTTTTTTTTCTCAATTCGGGGTGCGAATCATATGAAACTATCAATCTATCAATACAGGGCTTAAAAAGTAAGAGAAAATTATTCCCTTTAGAATCCCTTGCACAAATAATATTCAATTTACGAGTACACAAAATGTACAAATACACAAGTTAAATACTAGTACAAATAAAAGATGTAATTTATAGTATGAAAGCAACGGCAGAGAGGTGATACCATTTAATCCCAACAACATTGTCACCAACCCAAAACAGAAATTAATTAATTGACCTTTATTCCGAATGAATTTCTTGGAAAATGAAAAGGTCCATTGACTGGCAACCTTGTTCGAGCAAGGGAAAAAAAAATCATCTTTAGGCGCTGACACAGTGGTTTTGATCCTTTAATTGATTCAGTTTCAGTGGATTCTTCACTTGAAAATACCAACAATAACCAAACAGACGTGCACGCAGAGTAAGAAGAGACTTTATCCTCGAAAGCACAAAAATCTTGAAGAAAAACAAAAATATTCCAGACAAGAGTTGAAAAAGTGACAAAAAGAAATCACATGGCAATGGACAAATGAGACAACAAGGCCAGGAATTGGTTTACATTACACTCTTGTGATCTCATTCATTCTGGCAATGGCAACAAAAGAATATTTCCTACCAAACCTTCTCTTACTAATAATCATGATTTTCTCATCCTTAAATAGTTAAATTCTTCTCAGTGCCATTAGAACCTAAAGGAAATTGAATGATGCTACACAATCTAAAAAACCTACTTCCCCCAGCCCCACTGATCTTTACTTGGTAGAGATAAAGTAGTCGTTTTGAATCGACATTGCTTGATAAAGTAGTCGTTTTGAATTGACAATCTTAAAAATTGTTGTTTTCTAGTTTGTGTAGCATTTTGACTCTTCAGAGCAAAGGTAACCACCTTAAGATTGAACCTTGATTTAGGGATTAGACTTCTCTCAGTAATCTGCAATAAAAAATTACAAATACATAGCTGAATATTAAACAGAAGGCATTTATATTATTCTGTGCAGTTGTAAAATATGACAGGGTGCTTAATTTAGAAACTAGTCCAAAGAGCAAATAATGGTAAAAAAAAATTGGTTTACCGTCTTTTTTCTTGATTAGTCCTCTGGCAAAAAGCAAGCAGATGACAAAAAAACCAATTCCTGCTGCCCCTCCTAATATTATTGCAACAGTTTTTCCAGTATCCGGCCCTCCTGTCAATAATGATCAACCACAACTTGCATTTTAAATTTTTTATTTTTTCTTACTGGTTTTCGTAAAATAAAATAAAAAACTGAATGCCTTTTGACTAATAATAATCCGGAATTAGGCCCGCATATCTAAATCAGACAACCATCTTGTTTAAAGTCGCAAATCTTGAAATCAACACGTAAGAAACATCCCCAACCTCGATAAAAAAATAAAAAAGAAATACTATGTCCCTTTATCTTTTTCTTTAGTTAATGAATCAATTACATTATTTTTTTTTCAAAGAAGACCTTTATTATATTCTCCTATATCAACTTTTTTCATAGAAAAGGTAGGGAACTATTAAACAAGAGAGACCTTAATGGGTAAATTATTTTTATCACAACTCAAAACACATCAAAGTAATCTCTCTAATTAGACAAAGCTGAATGTATAATATTATCAATTAATCCAATTAAATAAAATGAAATGACAGCTCACAAATCAAAATCCACAAGACCCAACAAAATAAAAAAGGAAGACTAATCACATACTGCAACACCAGTACGCCACATTATCTATGTAAGGAAAAAAATAGTAATAACAAAACAAAAAGAATTATTATTTTAATATTAAAAAAAAAATGACAAATTAAGAGAAAAAATGGAAATGTACCTGAAGAAGAGGAGGAAGGAGATGAAGGCGAGCCCCTTTTAGGCAAACCATTGGCATAATAACTATACCCAATAAAGCATCTGTGCAGATAAATCTGTCCCCCAACGGCTCCCCCACACTCCACCTGCGCCCTCTGCACCGCACTCCTCACGCACTCCGCACAGTCCGCCGCCCCCAAGTCGCCCTCGCACTGCCCCAGCGCGTACACATCCCCAAAGCTCGTCGTGAAAAACCCCCCGCCGCCGCCAACGCCGTTCTCGAGCGCGCTCAGGGCGGTGTCCCTCTTCTCCTCGAATCCTGCCACGGCGCCGGCGGTCTTCCGGCTGCAGCTCTTGTAGAGCATCGCCATTCCCGACATCTGGGCGAACCCCGCGGCCTCGTAGAGCATGTAGCAGCCCAATAGCTGAATTCTGGCGGCGATTACCCTCCCGCAGAGCTTGTCCATCATCGGCGGGATGGTGGCGACGCAGGCGTGGCAGTCTGCGGGGGAGAGGTCGCCGCGGCATTGGAAGAGGCCGGTGAGTGCGGCGGAGGAGGCCTTGGCGAATCTGGATTTGTAGGATTGGGGGGTGAGGGAGGCGAAGAGCGAGGCAAGGATTTGGGGGTTGGGGTTTGATAGGGGCTGTTTGGCGCAGCCTTTGTAGACTAGGGTTGTGTAGGACGGGGCGGGTTGGGATAAATGGGTCAGGATGAGAATGGTGAGGATGAGGAGGCCTAACTCAGGGGGTTTTCTGGAGCTGAGCAAACACATTTGTGGGATTTTATTTTTTTCTTTATTTCGAATCAAAACATGGTTGTTTCTTTTATTTTAGTTTTTTTCTTTTTTGGGGGATGTAAAAGAAATGGATCTTGACGAGTTTTTGGGGTTCTCGGGAGATGGGTCTGAGTTAAAAGGGGAAGAGGATTTGAGAGGTTATTTAGCAAAGGTTTCTTGATTAGTCCAATGTTACATTATTATGGGATTAAAAAGTATGAAATTTGATTCTTGGAGGATATTAGAGTGGCGTGGTTTTGGGTTTATTTGTGCTGCATTTGGTAATTTAACTTTTATTTTTTTATTTTTTTCTTTCTGGAGCACAAGGCTGGTTTTCGTCTGTATGGTTTTTTTGGGTAGGTGAAGTGAAGGCTAAAGAAGAGTGACGAGAGCATTTCTATCTTTTGTTCATTGTGTAAAGATGGGGCTATATACAAAAATGCCCTCTTGTGCATGGTGTGCTCGAGGGGCGTCCATGTTGATCCCATTCATCTATTACTATATAATACGGAGAAGAAAAATTATTTGAACAATTTGAAAATAAACATTTCGTTTTCCCGCTTCAATATAGTGTTTTCCCGCTTCTTTAATTCGTAAATTTTTTTCTGAATTTTTTCAGCCCATGCAATTAGGTAACCAATCAAATCGAATCTTTTAGCATTCAATTTGGTAACGTGTTCCGATTTTAGCATTCAAATCCGATTTCACTTCTTTTTTTTATGCCAATCAATCCGATTTTTTTGGTTGTTTCAAAATTTGTTTAGATTTATATTTTTATTTTATTAATATATTTGAAAGAGAATCAATAAATGTTTATCATAACTTTTATTTTAAAAATAAATTTGAATAAGCATACCTTTTACTTTATATGAAATTCAAAATTACATATTTTAATATATTAATAAACGTGTATTATTTATTTTTTCCTTATGTGATATAATAGAATTTCGGTATTAAATTTGTAAATTCAAACATTTAAAGGAAAAGATTCCAAATAATTTTTTTTGGGTAAATTTCATTTTATCTTGGTTTTCATTATCACATTTCTAACAAACTAATTAGTATTATATTTTTTTATCTACATTATCTAACCGATTTTTTATGATACAATTAATATAATATCTTAACAAATTAATCATTTGTCTAACCGGATTTATCTCTCTAACAAACTTGTCAATTTTTTTAAAATTAAAATGGTATGATTATTCTTATGGAGATACTTATCAATATATTAAATATTTAGAAACTTTTTTTAAAAAGAGTTATCCCTCCTTTTACTTTATTTGAAATTCTGACTTATATTTTTAAATATATTATTATTTATTTTTTTACATGTAAATATTTATTATTTAGTATCTAAGTGATAAATATTATTGATTTATCTCTTTAATAAATATTTATTATTTATTTTTTCCTTACGTGATATAATGTAAATTTGATTACTAGATTTTTAAATTCAAACATTTAGGAAAAAACCACGAACAAATTTTTTGGTTACATTTCATTTTATTTTAACTTTCATATAATCACAATCCTAACAAACTAATTAGTATAATATTTTTTTACCCATTTTTATATAATCGAATTTCTTAAAATATAATTAATATAACATTTTAACTATTTAATCATTTGTATAACTTGATTTAACTCATTATCAAATGTTGATATCAAATCCAGTAATCAGAATTAAGGTACTAAAAGTCGGAATATATTATAGCAAATCACCGACTTCTTAAGAATTGCCGATTTCCGAAAGATCCAACTTTCGACAGACTTTCAAAAAAGGATCGAAACCGACATCCGAAACCGACGTAAGTAAACCGACTCCAAATCAACCGACTACCATAAAGTTTTGAGCATTCCAACAGAAAGTAATCATTAGAAGCATCTGATTGGACCAACAAAACAAAAAGGCAATCATTGATGTTTCCCGCCGCCTCAAAACAAAGCAGCTCAATATTAAATGCATCTCTATCCATTTCGAGGAAGAAGACAAAAGCCACCGTACTATAAATAGCAGAATTGATGATAGTACGAGGATCTTCTTTTTGGATCACATTGTACACGAACAAAAGACAATCTCGGTTTTCAGTTTAAAACCGACTTCTGTACTCTTGTGAACACAATCAATAAAATCTAATTAAATAGTTATCCTCATCTTTTGAACATCAACTGTGTTTAATTTTAAGTTGTTAATTCAAGACAGCAACAGTTTGGCGCTAGAGGAAGGGCGGCCTCGCTTCAATTGTTTGTCTTGTAATAACACACGCAAAGGATGTCGAATTCTGGACGAAATGAACGTAATCCAGATCCTGGGATTAATCGTCACCAAACTTATACGACTGGAACTTCTGCCGTGCCATCTACATCAATTGATTACTCAGCTTTATTTCAAGATCCAGAGTTCTTGAAAAATCTAACTGATTTTATGGCACGAACAAGGATAGAACCAGCCGCAACGGCTAATCCTCAAACTCGCTCAACTCCAGTTCCACGAAGAAATAATATTCCTGCAACATCACATGCAACTTCTCATCTACGTACACATGAATCACAACATGATGCAACAACTCAAAATCGTGAGGTAGTTCCGGTACAAACTCGAGTCCCAGAACCAGCGCGATCAGAGGCAACTGCAGAAAGCCATTCTGGACATCGACCACGACAGCCTACTCCGTCGTTACCAGAACTATCACGACATGATCAACCTTCTGATTTACGACATACTCTTGAACAAACCCATGCTCGTCGTGGGCAAAATGAGTTACGTCATTTAATTGAAAGGAATCGTCAAAGACGCGAATCAGAAGAGTTAGAAATGTTGAGAAAAAGAATTGCTGAGCTGGAGACTTGCCAAGGCGAACATGGAGGACCACCACGACGAACTCCAATCATAGAAGAGACGTATCAAGAGGTTGGAACACCTTTAGCTCCTCATTTGACTAGAGAGCCTATCCCAACTAAAGTGAAAGTTCCGCAAATCGGCTTATATGATGGAACTTCCGATCCTGATGCTCATCTTGGTCAGTATACATCTTGGATGGATCTTCATGGAGCGAATGAAGCACTCAGATGTCGGATGTTTTCTTTAACTCTGGGACCACGAGCTCAAAAATGGTATCATTCTCTATCTCGGTATTCAATCTCCACATGGCAGCAGTTGAGAACGGCTTTTCGCTCTCATTTTATCGGGGCCCGAGTATCTTTGATTCCCAAAGAGTCAATTGCAAATATTGTACAAAAAGATGATGAAAGCGTGAAAGACTACATTACTCGGTTCAACGAACGCATACAAAATATGGAGCAATGCCATCCCGAAACGCTATTGGTCACAGCCATAGCCGGATTGAAGCCAAACTCGTTGTTCCGATGGAGTATATGTCAAAATAAACCGACTTCGTTTCAAGACTTTCTAGCTCGGGCTCAACAGCATATTCTGGCCGAAGAATCAATGTCGGTTCCTAATATCGACTTTTCCTCGTTGAAGTCGGAAGTCGGGCAAGAATCAAAAAAGAAGAAAAATAAATTTTTCAAGCCAAATAAGTCTCGATTTGGAAATTCAAAAATCCCCGAAGTGCAAGAAGCCAGAACTAAATATCTTAATGAAGTTAAATCTAGCTACCAGACGGTATTCTCGGCAGGAGCAGCAACAATATTTGAAGAATTAAAAGGGAAAGGAATTCTTCCCGATCCTCGACCTGTCAGAACACCTGAAGAAAAACTTGATAAAACGCGATATTGTTCATATCATAAGTCGGCAGGCCATAATACTGATGAATGTCTTGGTTTACTTTCTGCCTTGTTGCGACTTATTGGACATCCTCAAGTCCAAAGATTCGCCAAGAGTGTTGATTACAAACGAAAAGGAAGAATGCCTGATTTACCGGACGATGAAGACGATGAAGAACGTCCAATTAATCCAAAACGGGTGAGATCAAATGAGAAAGAAATATACATGACGAATCAAAGAGAAAGAGATCCAACTGAAATGATGTGTCGAGGGGGATACTATAATCCTGATAATTCACACCATGTACCTCGGGTCAACAACAGCAGCAATGCAACGTTGGAATCACGAAGGCAAATAAAAGCATATGCTCGGAAAGCTTTTAACTCGGGAAAAACAGTTTTAACTACCGACCTCCGAGATAAAATTAATGCTCGGAACAATTGCCCGATTACATTCAATGTTGATGATGCAAGTTATTTTGCTCACCCTCATGCCGATCCCCTAATAATCACGGCACCCATATGTGGAATACCGATACATCGTATGTTGGTGGACACTGGAGCATATTCAAGTATTATGATGTTGCGTACATTTGAACAAATGGGAATCGATCTCGCCGAGTTAAAACCCTGTAAGGATCAAGTACAAGGCTTTAATGGAACCATAACGACGACCCTTGGCGAAATCACTATGCCAATTCGGTTCGGAATCCCTGGACAAGCTTCCAAAGTTATTATGGAGACATTCAAGGTGATGGATCTTAAAAATCAATACAATGCCATCATTGGACGGACTGCTTTATACAAGCTTCGTGCAGCTGTATCAATATTTCATTATGCTCTGAAATTTCCTACTAATAATGGAGAAGGAACTCATTATGGAGACCAGTACGAAGCTCGCGGAATGGTATGGGTTAAACCCTGGCATGAACCCTGTATGCCCGTACACATGATGGAAGAAATCGAAGAAAGTCAAGAAAATTCAACACTCATTAACTCGGAATCATGCAATGCCGAGATGGAACTTGATCCTGTGAAATTAAACAACGATTTGATTTGTGATCGTGGGAGGCGTCCGGGAAAAGAGCCAATTAGAGAAGAAGACGCACTTGATCCACGAATTCAATTTAAGGAGAAAAGCAAACTTGAACGAGCCGAACCATCAGAAGAGGTCGAGATAATATTCATTGATGATTCAGTTTGTCGCAAGTCGGTGCAAATTGGTGCCAATCTTCAAGAACCAATACGAACTCGGCTCATTCAGTTCCTCAAAGCCAATTCCGATGTATTTGCCTGGAAACACGAAGATATGAAAGGAATTGATCCAAAGGTCGCTTCTCATCGACTCAATTTGGACCCGACAATTAAACCGGTGGTCCAAAAACGACGCAAACTCGGTCCTGATCGACAGAAAGCTCTTGAAGAAGAAGTTCAAAAATTGGTTGATAACAAGTTCATTCAAGAGACGAAATACCCGACTTGGGTGTCAAATCCTGTTTTGGTGAAAAAGAGTTCCGGTGCATGGCGACTTTGCATTGATTTTACCGACTTAAATAAAGCCTGTCCCAAAGACAGTTACCCTTTACCACATATCGATTATATGGTGGATGCCACAGCCGGACATGAATTGATGAGCTTTATGGACGCATATTCAGGTTATAATCAAATTCCAATGGACCCTGAAGAGGCAGAACATACATCTTTTTATTCAGCCCGAGGATTATATTGTTACACTATGATGTCATTTGGTCTTAAGAACGCTGGGGCC